CCCCCCCCCCCCTGCCGGCGCCCCTCGCTCCTGATCTGCGGCCCCTGCCAGCTCAGCCCTGAGCAACCCCATCCTCATTTAGAACCATAGAGCTGGAAGAGACCTCAGAAGGTCATCAAGTCCAGCCCCCTGCTCTAGGCAGGACCAATCCCAACTAAATCAGCCCGGCCAGGGCTTTGTCAAGCTGAGACTTAAACACCTCTAGGGATAGAGACTCCACTACTTTCCTAGGGAACCCATCCCCGTGCTTCACCACCCTCCTAGGGAAATAGTTTTTCCTAATATTCAACCTGGACCTCTCCCACCACAACTTGAGACCATTGCTCCTTGTTCTGCCATCTGTCACTACTGAGAACAGCCTCTCTCCATCCTCTTTGGAACCTCCCTTCAGGAAGTTGAAGGCTGCTATCAAGTCCCCCCTCACTCTTCGCTTCTGCAGACTAAACAGACCCAAGTCCCTCAGCCTCTCCTCGTAGGTCATATGCTCCAGACCCCTAATCATTTTGGTTGCCCTCCGCTGGACCCTCTCCAATGAGTCCACATCCTTTTTATAGTGGGGGGCCCAGAACTGGACACAATACTCCAGATGTGGCCTCACCAGAGCCGAATAAAGGGGAATAATGACATCTCTGGATCTGCTGGCAATGCTCCTCTTAATGCAACCTAATCTGCCATTAGCCTTCTTGGCTACAAGGGCGCCCTGTTGACGCCTATCCAGCTTCTCATCCACTGTAACCCCCAGGTCCTTTTCTGCAGAACTGCTACTTAGCCAGTCGGTCCCCAGCCTGTACCAATACTTGGGATTCTTCCGTCCCAAGGGCAGGACTCTGCACTTGTCCTTGTTGAACCTCATCAGATTTCTTGTGGCCCAATCCTCCAATTTGTCTAAGTCACTCTGGACCCTCTCTCTGCCCTTTATGAACTGGCTAAAGGTTCACTGTGTCCCACTGGAGGGGGGATTATCGGGCTTGGGAGGGGGCTGATTCTGCTGAGATGGGGAGGCTTCACCGCGGTCCCCAGCAGTGGGAGTCCTTGTGCCACCCTTCTCACAGCCAGACAGAAGGATGCTGTGGCCCTTGGGGCACCCCGAGGCCTCAGAGAGCATCCTTAAATAAATCTCATGAACTCCTTAAACCACCTCATCATGTTTTCTGGGAGGGGCGAGTGTTAGACTGGCAGTCAGGGCCCCCCCCCCCACTAGAAACTGGCTCCCCAAAGAACTGGAAATCCCAGCATGCACTGCGCTTTATGCAGCCCCCCCCACCCAAGGAAATTGCAAGTCCCAGAATGCACTGCGCCTTACAGACCACAACCCGAGGGAACTGCGAACCCCAGCATGCATTGCGCCTTACGCACCCGAAGCCAAGGGAACTGCGAATCCCAGCATGCATTGCGCATGACATACCACAACCCGAGGGAACTGCGAATCCCAGCATGCATTGCGCCTTACGCACCCGAAGCCAAGGGAACTGCGAACCCCAGAATGCATTGCGCCTTACGCACCCGAACTCAAAGGAACTGGCAATCCCAGCATGCACTTTTCCTCTGAAGCGCGGCTGTTCGTATCCCAGCATGCACTACTACCTCAGGAGGACTGCAACGCCTAGAACGCATGGATTCCGGTCACATGACACAGGGAGACTACAATTCCCAGCATGCAGTGCAGCAAAAGGGCCCCACTCTGCGCATGCGCAGCAGACTCGGCTGATCGCACACTGCGCAAGTGGTGAGCGAAGGGGTGGGATTGCGCTTGCGGAGTCGGGGGAAAACCCGCCCACGAGGATTTGCGCAGGCGCAGTGAAAGCGGACCGGGCTAAGCGCAGGCGCACTCAGGGAAACCGTCCGCCCGGTCCCGCTGCCCACAGTCCCCAGTTCGACTTCGGAGGCGGCCTCGGTGCAGCACCCCTAGCTTCCGCTTCCGGCTTGGGAAGGAACTGCTTCCGGTTCGGCTCCGTCTCTCCCTGCAGCGGTGGCTTCGGCTGGGGCGGTAAGAAGCGGTCGGACAAGGGAGGCTCTGCGCATGCGCTACACCTGGGCTGGCGGGTGCGCGTACGCGGAGTGCGCGAGAGGACCACGGTTCTAGCTCCGCGCGCGCGCTTGCTTCCGGGTGCGCATGCGCGGTTGCCCCAGCCTGCTGAGCCCCTGTGCGCGTGCGCAGAGGCGATACCACTCTTAAAGGGGGGGTACAATAGCCTAGACCAGCATGGGTGGGGGAAGTGATGCATTATGGTAGGCCCTACAATAATATATGTGTATTCATTTGCGGGCTACAGTAATGTGTCCCTATTTGTGTAGGCCCTACAGTAACGTTTGATTCATGCCTGGTGCGGGGAGGAGTCAGCACCTTGGCCCAACACAACTGACTTATTGTAGGGCCTACGATAATGGCTCCATTGCATCTCCAGGCCTTGGAACAGCGTGTCTATAATTAATGTAATTATGTATATTAACGTAGGGCCTACCATTGTGCGTCTCCATGAATACGGAACCTCTGTCAACATGCTTCATAATTGTAGGGCCTAGAATAATAGATCTGCATTTCATTTGGAGCTGGAAACTGAAAGGATTGTGGGAGAGTTTTCTCTGTCAAGCAAGACACCTCCCCAAATCGGTTTTGTAGAACAAAGGTTTGGAGACAGCCAAAGAGGGGAATAGCAAAGGGAAGGCAGCAAAACCACCAGAGCAGAATTGAAAGGACTTGACGGGAGCTGGTTATGGAAAAGATGAGGTCAGCACCATGCAGAGAAGAAGTGGATAAATATGGGGATTTACAGTGATGAGTTTCGGGAGAATCCAAAGGCAGAGTCTTCACGCCCAAATAAACAAGGTGGTGGAGCAAGTAAAAGAAGTGTTAAAAAATAAGGCGAAAAACAGTTTAAATTCAGACAGAGGCGTGAGAGCAAATGAGACCTGGAGGAGTACAAGGGTGTAAAATCCCATTTACTCAGTTCACTGATTAAATGTTAGGTTAAACTAATGTCTAACCAGTTAACTGACTAAGAGAGTTCCTGGGCGGCTCTCCCATTGTTGTAGATCTCACAGAAACACATCCCCATTCAATCTGCGCCACTGCCATGGTGCTTGTTAATATAGGGCCTTGTCTCTAGAGGGCTGGGAACGTCCTGGGAGCCTCTGGTGGCTACAGGTCACTTGCTTCAGTTTCCCTTCTTGGACTAGTTAAAACGTCAGCCAGGTTTTTCCTTGATCAGAAATACCCCTCTTTGGGGACTGGGATTTTTGACATAAAATAAATGGCAAATAAACCTCAGATTCCCAAGCCAAGTCCATGCATATATCCACACAATACAAAGTTTTCTCTTCCCGCGTCTCTCTGCCTGGGGCAGTCTCCCTGGTCTTGAGTCTTCTGTATCGGAGCTTTTCCGTGGTCTCCGCTAGTTTCCCAGGGTTCCCTCCCTGTCGCGGCGGCTTCCTGTTGCCCTGTAATCTCTCCGATCTGTCCTGAAATTAGGGTTGGATCGTTCCAGCTACAGGCCTGCAGTTAATTTGGGTTCTGGGCCACTAAGACTATTTTCATAGGGCCTATAGTAATATATCTGCCATTATTTGGGTCCTGGGTCATTACAACTGTTCTGGTAGGGCCTACAATAATACGTCCACCTTAATATAGGTCCCATGCCTTACTGCCTATTAACACAAGGCCTACAGGAATAGAACCCTAATCATTTGGCTGTAGTGCTGCTAGTCCCATTATTGCAGGAGGACAGTAACGTGTCCTAGCTAATCCGCCTGAACCAGGGAAAGGTCTTTTTGTTCAAAGGGGAATGACCCCCATGCCATGCGCCAGGGGAGGGTCACTGGGTCTCATCCTTTGTCCTCTAGGCCTGGGGGTGCCGGAGCCGCCATGGGGCGCTCGTCGAAGGACAAGCGGGATGTCTACTACCGCCTGGCGAAGGAGGAGGGCTGGCGGGCCCGCAGTGCCTTCAAACTCCTGCAGCTGGATGAAGAGTTCCACCTGTTTGAGGGTAAACTGGGAGCTGGCCCCACCCTGGCCCCATGTGTCCTGGTTCTCAGCCTCTCCCCGCCCCCCCGACCCCACTCCCTTCCAAAGCCAGGGAGAGGATGGTTACCTCCAAGTTGTGCAGACTCAGCTCTAGCCCTGATGCACATGGGCATAAATATTAGAGAGAACCCACCCCCCTGCTCTAACCACTAGACCCCCATCCCCTCCTGGAGCCAGGGAGAGAACCCAGGTATCCTGGCTCCCAGCCTCTCTCCCTGCAGGGGTGCGCCGGGCGGTGGACCTGTGTGCGGCCCCTGGCAGCTGGAGCCAGGTGCTGAGCAGGAAGCTGAAGTAGGTGGGGGAGCGACTGGAGGGGGCGGGACCAGGGGCCGGCAGGGGGGAGGGGAAGGGCCCCTCACAGGCACCCGGATGGGCACCTTGGCGGGAGGAGCTTCTGGGCCCCTCTGAGCCCTTCTGAGCCCTTCTCTCCTGCCTCACAGTGACCGGCCTTCACGACATCGACGAATACATCCAGGCGCAGCTGCTGCTCGCAGTGAGTCTCCCCCAGCTCCCCCGCTGCTCTGCACAGCAGACTGCCCGTTTGCCTGCCTCCATCCCGCGCTGCAGCATCAGTCACTTCTTGTCCCAAATGGCTGTTCTCCGGCCACCCCGCCCCAGAGGCGGCGGCCCCCC